ATAAGATCCTCAAGGCAAGGGCTGCTCATAGCAGTGCTCAACTTGATTCCTCTGCATGTTAAATATTAGTGGTAAATAACCTTCTGGTTTGGTTCCAGACCTCTAAGTACTCTGCATACCCCCATATGACACTTTCTCAGTCATGTGACTGGGAGGTTCTGCTGTGGCCGTGATGTTTAATGCTCAAAACACATAGGAATGTTGGTTGCTATCACTGCAGTAGGAGTTACAGGAACAGAGGAACTAAACACTGAAATTAGCAACATAGCCTAAGATTTGGCAAGACCAATCTCTCAGGCAGGCACAGTGCTGACACAGCACGGTGAAAAGGAACACCACCAATGTTCAGCAGAGTCAGAGAGGAAAACCTGCAATACCTTTAACAAAGGAAATTCTCAGTTCTGCTGATTCATTCTGAGTTAAAGCTGCAATACAACTTGAGTAAGGTACACCCGAGCTGACTCTGCCTTTTTTTCTGCAGAGTTCACAGAATTTGGCATACAAGAAATGTAATAGTTGTTCTTTATAGTCCTTTGCAATTTCTCAGATATTGACTGCGGTCACCTACCTTATGGTGTCTGATAGCATTACATGGTATTTTTCTGGCCAAGATACGGCCCTGGTCAAAATACTGATGAGAGTTTAAAATACTGATGGAAGCTTCTTAAACTAAAGAAAACCATACAGGAAATCCCTTTCACCCAAGGAAGTCCACTGCTAGCTCAATTAAAGGCCAAAGAGCCCTGCTTATGTCAACAGCTCTTGCTCATGCTTTGTTCAAACACATCTGTACAGTTGGTTTCAACTTAGGAAATAGCACTTAAATATCAACATAAACAAATGATCAGAGGAAAACAAAGGTAAATTTTCAACAGGACCAAAATTTCTAAATACCTATATTAGAGTAAATTACAAAGAACCTTCTCAAAGTATTTGCAAGTCATTGTTTTCTTTGTTCTTCATACAAAAGTCATATGAATTACATCATGCAAGGTAAAATGGAAGAAATTTCTCGACTGAAGTCTAATTATACTTGAATTAGTAATTTATCATGCTTCCTATACATAGTAATGATTGTAGTTAACATTTAATTAACTAGCATTACTTCAAATATCTATTTCACTTAAAATAATAATATCTAAGTACCATATTTGAGATATTTAACAAGTTAAATGTTAAATTCCTTTTCTTTCAGGAAAAGAAAAAAAGACAAAATTAACTTCAGACATTTATACTTTTCTTTAAACGCTACATGACATATAATCAGCTAGCAAATATCAGTTGCTTCAACAACAGACATTATTTTGACTTAACCATTATTATGAAGTGAAGTTTTATTGCACTTGCTTAACAGGATTATGACTAAATACTTACTTGTTCAGTGTGAGGTCAAGAATAAATTTGGAGCCAAAGGCTTCAATCTGGAAGCTTGCCTGGGCCAGATGGACAGCCTATAGATCCAAAAAGACAGAAAAAAATCCTTAGCTTACTTTCCTGTCTTTAGAGCTGATTATATCAATATCAAGAATGATATTTAATAAGAACTTTTTTATGGATTGATTCACTTCTTTATGGATCCTTATGTAACAATTCATTTCTTTAAAAGAAGAGTAGGTGCATTGTCATGGCTTTACTTGGAAGACCTAAATACCTGTGCAGCAAGATACCAATAAAAGACAATGAATGAGTCCTTTAAAATGAACACATCATGATAAAAATCAAGAGTATATTCAGCAGGACTTACCAAGTGACCATGATGAATTATGCAAAAGCCTAATTAAACCTTGATTTCAGCTTATTTTGTGCACAAAGCTAACCAATTCTTTCTGCACACCTAAGTGAAAAATCATGTCAGCTCTCTGCTCTTCATCAGGAATTGGAACTTTCTCTAAATGATGTGTCAGCAGAATGTGACAGTAAAATGGGACAACTTTTAACTTCAAAAGCACTTAGAACCACACCCTTGTGCATACTGAGAGTTTATGCTCCCCTTTAAAAGTCACGTTTACAAATATTGTCATTACTGTGCTTTATCTCAAAATACAAAGATAATGTCATCTAAACGTACATCATACATACTAAGTGTTAAAAATTAGTATACCTCACAGAAGCTTCTTTTATTTTTTTTATTTTATTGGGGAACAGTATGTTTCTCAAGGACCCATCAGCTCCAAGTCAA